GCCATGTGCGTATAAAAACAAAGGCAGATAAACAAACCTCTGAAAATAAGCTGTAATGATCATAAACAGCAACATCTAGGACATTTGTGATAAATGTTGTTTATATTTTTACTCCTTTTTTTCTTTGTCTTTAATTGTTTTCCCACGTCTTGGCATACAGGGAACAAAAAAAATTCTAAATGGCATATATAAAAAAAAATATTAACTTAAAAAATAGTCCTGACTTTCTTCAAAATATGGTTAGGGTTGCCAGGTATGCTGTCTCAGAGTGTTTTAATTACTGTTTCGTGGAGTCGTGTGAAGCTGAATATAAACATTAAGAGCACAGTGAATGCCAGCAATAAAAATTTGTTTATTTCAATTTGACTATCGCACACATCTCGGTACACAGGTGTGGAGTGAGGTGAACCAGGCCGTGCTGGACTATGAAAACAGGGAGTCGACACCCAAACTGGCCAAACTGCTGAAGTTGCTGCTGTGGGCTCAAAATGAGCTGGACCAGAAGAAGGTGAAATACCCCAAAATGACTGACCTAAGCACAGGCACCATCGAGGACCCCAAGTGAACACAACAGACAAGAACCGCCACCTTCCACTTCCCCTTAATTTATGATCAGTCAGTGACTGTGTGACAACCAGGTAACATATATGTAAAAACAAATGCTACAGTGTTTCTTTTTTTTCATGTTTCATTCATGAGAGGTAAGACTTAACTCATTGTGCAAACTGTAAATTGCTGTATTTGCAAAGTGGCAGAAATTATTTAGTTTCAGTACAGAACCTGGATTTTTAGGTAGTTCTCAGAGACAACAAAATTGAAATTGCTGTTTTATATTTCGTCTTTTTAAGCTGCGTTGGTAGTATTATTTATCGTGAACATTTTCCCCACCAGACTTTACTTTGCCAGGAAAAGTTGATGGTGTGAATGAGCACTGTTGGTACTGTGCATAGAACGGGGGGAGGGAGGGGGGGGGGATTGAGACTCCTGAGACTGGTGAAATGAGAAAATGTGACTATTTTTCAAATAAATGGAAAGCTACACTTTATCTAATTTTAACAATGTAATATTTATGATTTTATTTACTCTCGTTTTTGTTTGCCTCTTTTTTTTTGTCAGCTTTAAAATCAGCCACATGCTTTTTACGCCGTGAAATTTGATTGTACCTTGTGTCTATGGGATGCCTTGTAAATTCATTATTTAAGTGTTTGAGAAGGTGAAGAGAGTCCAAATGGAGTTGGTTTCTTACTGAGCTGAGGCCTTTTCTGATATCTACAGTGTGCACTGCCTCCAACATGCTCCAAATGGTTTTTCCTGCTGCACAGGTTTAAAGTTCTGGTTAAGTTCAGCCAATCCTGCATGACGATCATGCAGGATTGAGAGAAAGGGCTCCTGTATCTGGATGATGGAGCTGTCAGTTATGGCTACTGTCTAGTTCAACCCCCTCGAGTATGAAATTAATTCAGACAGGAGCAGTTTCCTTTAGTCAGTGGCTTTGTGTTAGTAACTTAAAATGACCCAAAGCTGATACTTTTGGTCCCTAAACAGGTATTTTGAAGAGTGCTATCATTTTTCCACTTTTCAAAGCCATTGGTACTTTCACTTTACCTGCATGTAAGTGTCCCTTTTTTTTCCAAATGGGGGAAAAGTACTTGTGCTTGTTTATTTTTGTTTGGTTTGTTTATTTTTATAAAAAGAAACAAACTTGCTGCTAGTTGTCCATCCTTAATTTCTTTTAAGGTTGTGTTGTCTTTATAGAAACTGGCTTTGACCCAGAAAGCTCACATCCCTTTTATTATTCCACATTTCTAAGATCAGATTTGCAATTATTAAAATAAACTTTTGTGAACCATAAACTGGTTGTTTTGTTTTGCTTTGTTTTGTTTGAGTTTAGAGTGTACATGTATGTAAATTATAAAAAAGATACAATAAGTAAAGTTAATTTAATAAGATAAAAGTTCATTGAAGATTTTAAATAAATTCATATTGAAATTCATCTGCCCTTTATAGGGGAAACATGCAAATGTTGTATCCACTAAAACCACCAGAGACCTCTGCTGTCTGCAACTGCAAATCACAACCAGGTGCATTTGAGTTTTCTTCAAACAAGTTTGACCTGTTAGACTCGACTGCCTGAGGCTATGAGGTTCAGCTAAATGACGCTTCTTTAGTGCGGAAAGGCTGCTGAGATAACAGATACGGCAGCGTTCTCTGAATGGCTGACAAACACACATCAGGAGCCGACAAGAAGGACTCTAATGGTTCTTTATTGGATCCTAAGATTTTTGGGCCTGATGAATGTAACGAAGAGGAGTCGGGAGACCGAAACCTATGGCCAAGGTGAGACGGCAAAAGATTTGACTAAGAAAACAGAGCTTAGATTGTAGCCTGTCAGGGTATTACTGAGAGCTCACTTGAAACATGTACTCATTTGATACACTAAATGGCTGTCTTAACTCACAATGCCTTTTTTTGTTGATTTTTATAAGAACAATGGCAACTGGATACTAAGTGACAAAAGAAATTACATGTGTACTGTAACTATTCACTAGAAATGTAAAGACCGATATGATACACAGTAGTAGTGAAAACAAAGGTACTGGTAGTTCTTTATCTTTTTTAGGTATGTTATTTAGTTTGGTGTGTTTTTCCATGTTCATCTGGCTTTGTCCAGGTTCAAATGTCTCAGCAACTCCCAGATGAACTGAGATTACATTTTGCTAAAGATATCAGTTTAATTTCATCACCGACAAGTGAAATTCTTCACTTAGAAGTGGAGTTTCTCAGCATCTACCAACTAGATGTAGCACCAACAAATTGACATCAGTGTTTTTAAATATATTATTTAAACTTCTTGATTATTGCACAGACTGCTGTGAAGCCCTGTATAAAGAATTATGCTGCACCTGAGATGTAATGACTTTTGTCTTTGCTTTACTTGCAAAAATATAGACATGTCCATGAGCCTCTGGAGTGTTTTGTGTTTAGTACTAATTAACAAATATTAGCACGTTAAAGCACTAAACCAACATTATCACACCAGCACGTCAAACACCATCTCTGTGAGGATATTTACTTGCCAGTATGAGCATTTGCATTTGTCCAAGTGCAGGTGCACACAGCTCATAAAGTGACTATAGACTCTTTGTTTAGTGCTGCTGACATCACTAGACTGATTTTCACTCACGCTCACCCAGTTCGTTGGAAACAGTTTACTGCAAAATCTGACTATATAAGCAAGAGCTGTTTGCCTTACAGATCCCTGGCTCGAAAATGGATCGTGATGCTGTTTATGGGCACCTGCTTCCTCTATTGTGCGCGGATGGCCATGCCTGTCTGCGCCGTCTCAATGGCTGCTACGTTTCATTGGAGTAAAATTGATTCTGGGGTGGTTTTGGGTGGATTCTTCTGGGGTTACTGTCTCACACAGATCCTGGGAGGACACGCGAGTGACAGGTAAGGATGTGATGCATTGAAGCACACATGACTTCGCTTAATGAGCAAATAACCTTCCAGGTCTGTTTACTGTGAAATTAGGTTTTGAGTTTCAGGATGTTGCTCTGTGAATGATTGTTTATTAGAGTGGGAGGAGAGCGCGTCCTGTTCTTCTCTGCATTATCATGGGCTCTGATCACAGCTGGCACTCCTCTGCTGGCCCATCTTGGCTCTCACACCCTGGCTCTCATGACTGTGGCCAGGTTTCTCATGGGAATATTCCAAGGTTAGTATTGTACCAGTGATTATGTTCTAGTAAGAATGTACAATTCGTTCATACAGATCAAAATCCCAAAGCACTTCACATTAAAACACAAAAAATATACACAACGGTGCAAAGCAATACAATATAAAACAACACATTTATTAAAAACTGGTCTGTGCAAAAATGTCAATTCCAAAAACTGGCAGAGAATTGCAGGTAATAAACCCTTGATGGGGGCCAAAGTGTGAAAAAAGGTGTGGATCATTACTGTCACCGGATGAAACCTCTGTGAGACATTGTCCCACCCCACCATCCTGTGAGCTGTTGAGGTCACCAAGGTTCGAGTGGAAGAAACAATCTCAAGCATGGATTGTGGGTGGCCAAAATATCATTGCCCCTGGTGATGATAATGACCCATGCCTTTTTCTCATGCACTGGCTCGTGTAAATCACATGATCAATAGTGGGTTAATGACCCAACCCTCAGGACCACCTCCAAAGGGGTCGGCCCCTACCAGGGATTTATTAAAGAAGCCTCTTTGATGACAGAAGAAGTCCAGTTTGTCTTTTTCACACAGGCAACTGAAATAAACTAAACTAAAAAAGTGCAAATTTGCATGTGTACAGAGAAAAAATCGAGCCAGGGTTAAGAGTTTTACGCTGGTTTGCAGACAGTTAGGCTGAAAAGTCAGTGTCGTGATCTGTCTCCCCTTCTGTGGTGCACTGAAGAGTTGGACAGCCCAGCAGACAAAAGACTTCCTCAATCTCAAAGTAGTACAAGACAGCCACAGGAGTCTCTTACTGAGCAAGCTCATGACCGACAGCTGTCTATTTAGTTATTTCTTTTCAACCACTGATGCAAGGGCTTAAGCTGCATGCCACAACTGCAGAGCCCATTGTCCTAACCAGTCTTTCCTAGTCCCTCTTAATGCTTTCCAGCAAATCACTGCATTGAAGAGAACACTCACTGTAAGTGACTACTTAAACATCAGCAGGAGATTACTGCAGTCCAAGCTTGTTGTCCATCTTCAGTCTCATGCTGAAAAACACTCTGATGCCCGTTCAGTAAATACAAAGCAGTGAGAGAGACTGGAAACAGTCAGTTGGTGGATGGTGGATCTGATAACCCATAGTTGGTGATATTATCATAACTTTGTAATCAATGGTACTCCTGGGCCATCATGGGAAATGACCAATCATGTTCCTGTGATGTCAAAAGTTTCCAACAAAAAAGAAGAAAAGAATTCAGAAATTGGCACACTGCTACAGCTCACCTGGTTGAGCAAGCTACCTATGAGTCAAAAGTTAGATATGCATTGTCGATGTTTTTACCATCTTGGTGCTATGAACCCAAACTTGGTGAGCGAGCTGTGGCTCTAACAATGAAAGAGAAGACGTCGCATGTTAGAGTTCAGTGAACATGCTCTGCAGAATCTTTTTTGACCATAATTAGCAAAACAGACCCAATCTTTTATCCTGTTTCGCCTAAATCCAGTGATCAAACCCATTAAGCAATCAAGAAAGTGTTTACAGAGGTCACAGCTTAATTCCACATTTATACTTTTAGTTTCCTCTGACACACAGAACTCAGTCCCATGGGTTAAAGCTCTTTGTGGTGGACAAAAGAATAAAACAATCTTATCTTTAAGTATTATATTATAAAATGAGCCACACTTTAGTCTTGTTTTTCCAAGCTGCAACTATGAAATCACAGCTCTCTTATTGGTCTGTTGAGATGAGCAGCATAAATATTATGTTGTGGGAACAACACCAGTGTGATGAAAACAACTCCAAGTAGCGAAAAGCTGCAGCAATTAAGTTGTTTTATCCAGTTTGTTAGCTGCTCAAAACCAAAGTATAAAAATGGGAATTTGTGGTTTGTTTGTTCTCTTGACTGAGAGCAGTTGCTAGGCAACAAGCATAAATGTTAGGAAGCGAGTGTTCCCAGTCAGAAGTGCGAGCAGGCAGATTTTCAAACAGAATTTTTGACTTGTTGCTGGTTTCACTTTCAAAAAGTACAAAACATATCCAGCTGAATGTTGTGCCATTTTAATGGCATTAACCTTCAAGTGTAGCCATGCCAACATACTGGTTTTGTCAGGCAGATTAAAATCACACAAGTTCAACATGTTCAACATGTTTTTTTTCTTTTGCTTGCTTTGTTTTGTTTTTAGTAATTGCTTAGCTATGACCCGTTACAATGACAGATGCATGTTGAGCTTGCTCTAGTTTAAGGAAGCTGGTTCCTGGTACAGATTTCATGCTACCACTCGGGAATGTGATTCATAATGTTTAGCATAAGTTTTCCAAAAGGAAGCGCAGCCATATCTGACCACAAGCTGAACTAGTCCTTCAAATAAAACCTTCAGTTCTCCAGGTTTATTAAACATATTGTAGATGGGGTAGCTCAGGCTCACAAGGTTCCTCCCCCGAGTTCTGCAGGGTTCCGCAGGTGCCTTTCTTGGCTAGCATACATGTATAATAGATCTGAAACGACAGCAGTCCCTTTTCTGACTGTAAATGTAGCGAACAACTGCGGGTGCAACTTCACCAGCTTCCAGTCCAAGAGGAAGAGGACAAAGTCTGGAGAGGTTAATACAACCACACTTACACTACTTTATTGTTTGACTGACATGTTTTGGCTTGTGGCCCTCACCAGGGACCTTGATAAAGGCTATAACACCAGAGTTTTCCTTCATTTCCTGTATGTTGATATGTGCCACATGCTAATCCTGGATATAAAGGATCCTGACCACCCTATGCCAAACACCAGAATTCACCTCAGAGGGGAAACGCCCAGTGTTAGTCAGGTGTTTTTAATGTTGTAGCTGATTGGTGAATACTCTGTGAATTTAAAGTGTCTTGTAATTTCTTACAGGTGTTTTTTTCCCATCTTTGGCCAGCCTGTGCTCACAGCGTGTTGTGGAAGGGGAAAGAGGGTTTTTAATGAGCACATTGCAAAGCGGTACACATCTCGGGTATGTTTTACACACATAACAGCTGACATATGAATATACATTTATCTCTGATGACATGCTTTTGTCTTGATCTCTGTTTCTCTTTCAGAACATTGTTAGCTGGTGGGTTGGGGACCCTGATGCTCGACCGCTATGGCTGGGAAAGCATGTTCTACAGTATCGGTTTCCTGTCCGGACTCTGGGCTCTCATTGTTTGGCAGTGTTTACTAAAAGGTACAGCAGTGAATCATGTGTTCTTAAATAACAAAGAGGCTTAATATACTGTTTTTCTTTGACAGATAGTTCAAATTTTTTCATTTAGTTATTTATAATTTTCAATCACTTTTTAAAGAAAACAAAAGCAGTTTAGGTGTCACAGTTCCAGCCCAGATTTTATGTTGTAAACAGCACTTGCCTCTGAAAGCTGCCCATCATCCACACGGAACGGTTTGCTCCGGTTTCTTGGATGTACTTCAGGAAGTGTCTGAATCTCACCCTAGGTCTGTTAGCAAGTCTGTTCACTGAAAAACATTCCAATGAGTGATTACAAGTGGAAAATTAGAAAATAGAATCAAAGCTCATATTAAAAACAGAAGATTAGGAGTAGATTCAAAAACATCATGATAGGAATCAGTTGCCCAAATGCTAAAGTGGTGCATGGAGAAGCTGTTTGTGGCAGCTGCTCATTTCCTGAGTTCACTGACATAAAAGTTTATGTATAAATTCATGTCTAATGACTTTAAGTGTAATGACTTTGTGACTTTTAATCTGGCATCTCTATGATAGGGATCCTTTTTTTTTTGGATTGACATATATTTGTCTCCTGGTGATCCCTAGGAGATTTTTTTTAA